TCTAGACTCCGAATTAGATATAGTATTTGTACTTCATTAGAAATGCATGCATTATTATGTATATGGAAGCGCGGATACGAATGGATATGTTCGTGAATATGTGTAAAAATGTGAATAAAAGTATATATATATAGAAGCTTTGTAGGTTAATGTGTATGTATGTGCCTACGGGTAGAAAAAGATTGTAGTTTAGTATCTGTATGTACTGAAATGCAGATAAAATGACGTCTATGGATGAGTGTACAGGTGCATCTTTACCGGGTGTCTTGCTTCGCGAGTGTGCAAGTATTGAACTATCTGATGTATATATATATATATATATGTATGTATATGCACATTAGTTGTACGTATATTCATATATATACATAAAGATATAATTGGACTCGTATACCTTCCTTTATTTATGCATTTACGTGTGCCTCTTATATTTTCCCGAACTTGAGTAGAAGACTCGAGAGCACCGCGGCTGCGGGCATTTGGTTGTTTGGGAAGGGGCCTTTCTTGGCGTTTGGTAATTTTCGAATGTTTAGGATTTAGGGTTTGGGATCTTCTCCATTTTCTGAATTAGGGGGAAGGCCCCTTTTGAATCGAGTAGAAGCTTAAAGAGGGTTCAAAACTCTAGGGAAGACCCAGGGGTGGCGTGCGGCTCCCAAACCCTAAGCTGTAAACCCCAAAACGAAGTCTAAAGGGAAAGGAAGGGAAACTCCAAACCGTAGACCCTAGGCTCCCTAGTGGCAGAGGGAAATACGGCGAGTACCCGTGGGGTCCGTCCCTCCCTACCTTTCTGCTGCATCCCGCGAACCTTCATATTTGCAATGTGATTATAAGCATTTAAATATAAAATAAACATATAAATGCATATCAGGTATGTGTACAGCAAGGATTACAGTGTTAGGTTTAGATCTATTGTGTGTACGGTGGAACTGCGATTGCTTGTCCGCGCGCTGGTACATGCATGTAAATACTTGCATATTGTGTCTACACACAAATATATAAATATAGGCAATATATATTACCATGCAATGGACACATTATTTGCACTCAAAAATACGCATTTTGCGCCGAAGACGCCCTGGAGCCACAGCAACTGAATTGGGCGGGTGCTGAGGAAGCGAATTGAATCCTGCTGTGCCTGTGGAAGAATGAGAAATAGAAATGTAATAAAAGGTATTTAATAATTTATTAAAAGAATGCAATAAAGCAAAGTAACTCTACTTACACCCCGCTAGCCCTGATCTGCTCTTGTACAAAGCTGCTGCGGTGCCTTCGTACTTCCTTGGACGCGGAAAATGCGCTATTTTTACCTGCTGAACCAATAATTGTAACTCCGTTATAATCTTTTTCATTAGTTAAGTGGTTTACCTCGGTGTTTTCGCGGCCGAGTGTACCTACAATTCGACGCTTCGGGGCCCCCACCAGCCCCAACAACCACCCCCGCCGCAGCAGTTCTGAGTTAACTGAGTTAATTTTTTGTGCGACTAAGAGCATCAAATCGCCATACCAATCAAGAATAGGTAATTGTATTCAATTCATTTAGTCTTCTGTCCTCAAATTAACTAATTGCGACGGCAGCAGCCCCTCACTTGGGGTGCCTCCAACACCACCCCGCTTGGAGGCTCCCAATCCAGCCAGATTTGGGCCTCCTGCGAGCCTCTGTGCATTTTGTGGCCTCTACATGACTTATAAAACGTTTCTGTGCGCAGTGTGGGTCTGTTTGAGCCTCCTTTGAGACGCGGGGGCCCCAGGGCCCTCCCGCAAGTCCAGAGGGGCCCCCCAGGGCCCCCCGGGCCCCCCAAGGGCTTTGAGCGGCGCCAATAGACATTAAGAAGCCCCTCAGGTATATATGCGCTTGGCGCAGAGCTAAGAGCCTCACAGCTCGCAGCGGAGTTCGTGGGGGCCCCCGGCAGACCCAGGGGGCCCCGGGGCACAGAGGGGCCCCGGGGCCCCCAGGGGCCCTCTGTAGGCTTTCGGGCATAAGCTGAGGCTTGGCTGGGGCTGTAGGCCGAAGGGAGAGGCTGCAGCGGAAGCAGCCGAAGAGGAAAAGGGGGCGAAGAGACAAACGGGAAAAAACCAGCAGCAGCAGCAGCAGCAACAGCACCGCTAGCCGGTAGCAGCTTGTGGCCCTAAAGCGTGGGCGCAGCAGCAGCTGCTGCTTATTTGTTCGCTCACTGCCTCCTCTTCAGGTCCTCTTTTTTCCTTTGTATGTGCATTGTCATTGTTGGAAGATGCGGGCACAAGGGTCTCTGCTGCCTAGCAGCAGCAGCAGCAGCAGCAGCAGCAGCAGCAGCAGTGGGCACGTGCGCCCCCCACTGGCTAGGCTGGCTTCCCTGCTGTGCAGCACTGGGGCCCTTAGCACCGATACAGCAGCAGCCGCAGTTCTGAGCGCGCAGCAGCAGCAGCAGCTGCAGCACGAGCTCCAGCAGCTGCTGCTGCGGCACCTAGCTGCAGCACAGGAGCAGGGCCGCGCTGTTGCTGCACCTCTCGATGCTGCTGCTGAGATGGTGGAGAGGACTGAAGTCCTTTCGGAGCTGCACGGTGAGTTGCGGTGTATATACACCTGAGTCATTCGCTGCTGCTGAGGCGGCAGCAGCGCGGCCCTAGCAACGCAGCAACAGCAGCGGTGCAGCAGCAGCAGCAGCAGCAGCAGGCCAGAGACATGAAAAAAACCCAAATTTCTGCAGCAGCAAACGAATCAAAACTTGAAAAGTGAATTTAAAGTGGCAGCAAAAGGCCTTATCAGCAAAACAGGCAAATTGCCGTAGGCAGCAAGCAGCAGCTGAGAGCTGCAGCGCGGCTGGGTGCTGCTGCTGTTTGCTGCTGCACTTGTACCCCTGTTTGTCTTGACCTTCCTTTCCGTGTCTTGCATCAGCTCATCTGCTCATCTAGCTTTTGCTGCTGCTGCTGCTGCTGCTGCAGAGAGACTGAGGGGCGCTGCTGCTGCTGCGCCTCCCTCGCTCTTCTCCCGGCTCTCCACTCTGCTGCTCTCGAAGGAGCAGCAGCCGCTGCAGCGGCCCCACGCCATCCTCAGAGTGCTGCTGCTGCTCTCTAGGGCTCCACAGCTGCAGCAGCAAAGTGTGGGCCAAAAGGCGCCAGCAGCAGCAGCAGCAGCAGACGCAGCAGCAGCGACAACGGGGAGGGGACGCCAGACACCGCGCGCAGCCGCGACACCGCGTGGCGGGCTCGTGAGCAGCAGCAGCAATGCCGCAGCAGCAGCGACAGCAGCAGCACACACAGCAGCAACAGCAGCAGCAGCAGAAGGGGATGCCACCTCTGCAGACTCTGCGCAGCACTTGGCAATGTCCCTCAGCCACAGCGGACCGCCAGCAGCAAGGAGACTTGAGCCTCCGGTGCTGCAGTCGCAGCCAGCCTGTGCTTACGGTAGCCCTGCTGCTGCTGCTGCTGCAACTTTGATGCTGCTGCTGCTGCTGCTACAACTTTGTTACTACTGCTGCTGACGTTGCTGCTGTGGCTGGTGTTGGTGCTGCTTCATCCGTTGCTGCTGCCTTCACTGTTGCTGCATTTGCTGCTACAGAGACGCTTAAAGACGGCACGAGGTCCCACTGCTGTTGCTGCTGCTGCTGGATCTCGCTGCTTCTATGTTCCATTTTAGTTTCATTTCTGTTTTTTTTTGTTTCTTTGCATGAGCCTCCGAGGCCCTTTTCTGTCTCCGCCGCAGCTGCGGTTGCTGCAGCTGCTGCGGCTGCGGCAGCTGACCCTGTTTGCTGCTGTTCCTTTCTCTCTATATTTTACTCCTTCCTCGCCTCAGCGCTCGCTTCACCTTGAGGCCATCTTGCTGCTGCTCTTTTGCTGCTGCTGATTTGATGCTGCCGATTTGCTGCAGACCTTTGGGGCGCCGACGAGATTTCCCTCTTGAGAGACCTTCTTTTCGTCTTGCAAGGTGCGGTGCACGTCCCCATATTTGCTGCTGCTGCTGCTCTTGCTGCTGCTGCAGCTGCTGCTGCTATTCTCTCTGGCGCTGCTCTCCTTTGAAGCGTCATCGCTGCTGCTTGCGCTGCTGCTACTCTTCGCGCTGCTAGGGCAGCGTATGCTTGCAGCTGCCGCAGTCCCAGCTGCTCGGCTACTACTATTGTTGCTGCTGCTGCTGCGTCTTTTGCTGCTGCTGTTACTGCGCCTTTTGCTGTGTGAATCTAATACGAATACTGTTGTTGTTGCTTTGTGTCTCGCTGCTGTCTCTGCGTTGCGACTCGTGGTGCTGTGCTGCTACTATCTATGGCGGTGCTGCTGCCCTTCTTGCTGCTGCCGTTGCGGGTCTTGTCTAGATTACCGCCGTCGTTATGCGCTGCCGCAGTTGCTGCTGCATTTGCTGCTGCAGTTGCTGCTGCAGCTGCTGGCACTGCATTACGAGCGTGGGCTGGCGCTCTCGCGAGTGCGGCTATGCGCCTGTGTCGCGGCTGGCCAAGCTCTCTCTGTGAGAACCAAATTGCCGCATCAGAGCTGCTGCTGCTGCTGCGCCTCAGGCATGGAGGGCAGGTTTGTGCGCTTCGATCCGCTGCTGCAGACGGCTCGCCTGTGCTCCCCTGTAAGCAGCAGCAGCAGCAGCTCCTGCTGCGCAGAATTTTTCCTTTGCAACTCTGCTGCAGCTTCGCCTGCTGCTCCCTGTCCCCCTCGTCTGCGTCCTTTTGTTTCTCTTCTTGCTCTGTCTCACTGCTGCCGCTGCTGCAGCAGCTGCTGCTGCTGCCTCCACCCCTGAAGCGCTGCTCCCTGGAGGCCGCTGAAAACGCCAGTGGCTCGTTGCTTCGCTGTTTGGGTGCTGGGTGCTGCTTGGGGTGGCTGCTTGTTTGCTTCCTTCTTTACCCACCCCCCATCGTTTTTTCTTTTTGTTTTTGAATTTGATGTTCAAAAACTAAATATTTTATCTAGAATTCTGTCAGCTAGTGCTGCTCTGCAGCTGTTGCTGCTTGCCCCTTGCTGCACCCGCCTCCGGCCTGGCGGCTCCGTTTCAAGCCAGAGTCCGTGGGGCGCTATCTGTCCAAGCTGCTGAGGTCCAGCTGCTGTTGCTGCCGCTGCTACTGCGCTGCTGCTGATGCGCCGCTGCTGCTGCGTTGCTGCTGCAGGTGAAGGCGTCGCGCAGCGTCCTGGGCCTTGTCGCCCGCGTGGGGTCTTTGGGGTGTATGTACACCCGAGTGAAAGCGGCTGTGGAGGAGCCAGGGGTAGGGCAGCATCCCTTGGCCGGCAGCAGCAAGCTGCTGCGTCTGTGCTGCTGCTGGCTTTCAGTGCAGCACTAGAGCAGCTGGCTGTTTACACGTTTCTCAGTGCCTCTCTCACTGCAGCAGCACTTCTATATGAAAGCCAAAAGGCTCGCCATTCTGCTGCTGCAGCCGACTAAATTAGGCAAGAAAACTTTAGTGCTGCAGCCCCAGAGCTTCGCCCCAGAGGCCAGCCCGCAAACTAATAATTTCGCTGCACTGCTGCATGCGGCCTCTCAGGGCTCCTTCCTGCTGCCCCGTCCCTTAACTGCTGAGGCATTTCGCCAGAGCGTCGCAGCAGAGCTGCGCCAGTACTTCAAGCTCATCGCCATCCTCGAAGAAGACATCGCGCGGTTAGCAGCAGCAGCAGCAGCAGCAGGGAGAGCAGCAGGGGAAACAGCAACAGGGGAGCAGCAGAGGGAGCAGCAGCAGCTGCAGAAGTAGCGTGCCAGCGGCAGCGGCAGATGCTCCTGCTGCTGCTCCGGCTGCTCTCGTGGCTGCCTTTGCTTCCTCCCTTGAAGTCTAATCCTTTTTCTGCTGCTGCCTCAGTTATTCTGCTGCTGGTCTCCTCTCCGCTTTCGTTTCTTCTCTGCTGCTTCTCCTTAGCTGCCGCCTGCTGCTGGCTCTGTGTATCTCCGCGTCGCTGCTGCAGCGCCGAAGCCGCAACAGACCCATCGGCAGCAGGAGCAGCAGCAGCAACAGCGCAGGGGGGCCTACCCACTTTGCGGCGCCTTGCAGTCTGGCTGCAGGGCCCTTACCAGCGCATGCGGCTTTTGGTGTCTCTGGTTTGTTTCCCATTTGCTTCTGCTCCTTTGCTGCTGCCTCTGCCTGCTGCTGCTCCTCTACCCAGGCTCTGTCTCTGCTGCCGCTGCTTCTGATGTTATTGCGGCTTCTGCTTCTTTCCCCGAAGCTCTTCACCACTGCTGCGGGCTCTTGCGCTGGCTTTGCTGCTACGGCCTCTCAGTGCCACTTATCTTTTTTATTTGTTTTTCTCACCTTTTTACATTTTTCTTTCTCTTTTCTCCCCCTGCTGCCGCCCTCCTCTCCCTCACTTTGTTTTTGCTCCTTTTGCTGCCTCTTTTTTGCCCTTTTGCTGCTTAATTTGCTGCTGCTGCTCTCTCTTTGTCTCTTTGCTTCGTCGCCGCTCCGCTGTTGCTTTGTGCTGCAGCACAAGTGCTCTCCTTTGTCTCATTCCTACTGCCTCTGTTTTTTTGCTACTATCACTGCCCGCTGGTGGTGCCGCTGCTACTGCTGCTGTGAGTGCAGACGGAAGCCGCGAAAGGGCTGAAGGGTGCTGCCCTCCTCTCCACTATTTATGGTGGGCTACTGCTGCTGGGCTGCTGCTGCGGTTATAGCTGCTGAAGTGGCATCTGCAGCCATAACCAGCAGTACTGCGGGACAGCTGAAAGCAAAATTGCTCATTCGCTGCTGCTACGGTTGTGTTGCTGCTTCTGCTGCTTCTGCTGCTTCTGGTACTGCTGTTTTGTTGCTCCGCTGCTGCTGCGCTGCAGCTCACTGCTCATCAGGGGATTCCGAGTTGCGCACTGTCGCCCTCCAGATTGTAGGCGGTTTCCTGCTGCAAGGGCCCATCCAACAAAGCAGCAGCAGACAGCAGCAGCAACACCCACAGCAGCAGCAGCAGCAGCAAGGCGTAGTATTTGTGCGTGTGTTTTTGCATCAGCTCCACCGATCTCTCCTGCCGATGGCCGACGCTATTGAAAGCTGGACCAAATATGGACACCTACGGTGAGCAGACGACTGCATTTGCTGCTGCTGCTGGGGCTGCTGCTGCTGGTTTGACACATTTTTTAGTGCTGCGAAAGGCAGTGGTGTCGAAGCCGTCTGTGCGGCGGGTCCTGCTGCTGCTGCTGTCGACGGCGTTTCAACAGCTAGCTCTAGCATTGCTGGTGCAGCTGCTGCCGCTTCAGCTACTGCTGCTGCAGCTGCTATTACTGTTGCTGCTGTTTCTGCTGCTGCAGGGATGAAGAAGGCGAGTTTTTCATCCGCGAGGCGCCTCAAGACCCGCAGCTGTCCAGTTGGCGGTCTCGGTAAGCGCAGCAGCTGCAGCCGAAGCAGCACAAAAGCAAAATGAAAGAGAGATACAAGCTAGGAATGCTGCAGCAGCAGAAGCAGCAGAAGGGGGAAGGAGGGAGAGGGCCATGGCAAAAGGCTGTTACCTGCTAGATGCAGAAACTGCGCTTGTATATATATATGAATCTATATATATGTATATATATAATATACTCATAATATTAATATGCATAGTATATATATGACAATTATGTACATTTTGCCTCTGCTGCTGCGGGACTGCCCCAGTCGGCGGTTTGCTCGTGTTGCTGCTGCTCCCTTGCTCGCGTGCTGCGTTTGCTCTTTGATTGCTGCTGTTGTTTCTACTTTCAAATGCTGCTTCTGCTCCTCCTTGGGTAGCGCTCCTGCTCCAGCTTCCACTGTTCACATGCCTTTTAAGTACTGCTGCTGTCTCTTCTGCTGCTTCTGCTGCTGTTGCTGCCTCTGCTGCTGCTGCTGCTGCTGCCAAAATTCAGGTTTGTCCTGGTGCGCGAGAACATTCCATCTTTTATGCCGTCGCTTCTGCCTGAGCGGCTCTTGTTGGCTGGAAAGAGTGTCCTCTATAGCGAGTAAGGCATATCACCAAAGAGCTGCTGCTGCTGCTGCTGCTACTGCAGCTGCTGCTGGTGTTGCGGCTTTTGGTTCCGCTGCTGCTTGTGGTGCTGTAGCGGCAGTTGCTGCTGCACCTGGTGCTGGTCTTGCAGCCACTGCTGCTGCTGCGGCTGCAGCTGCTGCCTCTGCAGCTCCTAGTGAAGTGATGGCACGAGCAGCAAAACCGACAGAGGCAGCAAGAGCGGCACTGTGGCACCTTTGTCTTCGTTCTTTGCATCGCTTTTATTGGTTATTGATTTTGCTCCTTGCTGCCTGTCTTGCTGCCCTGCAGGCTGCTGGAGAAGCCGCCAAAAGCTACAGCAAACCTACAGCTGCAGCAGCAGCAACAGCAGCGGGAACTACCTGCCACTTTGCAGGAGCTTCTCTCTCTCGAGGAGCAGCAACAGCTGCTCCAGAGCCCACAACAGCAACAGGAGCATCAGCAACTGCTACCGCAGCGCCACGATGATCATGGGCTGCTGACTCCGCAGGGCCAGCAGCAGCAGCAGCAGCAGCTGCTTCTGCAGGAGCAGGAGATGCTGAGGCAGCCGCACGACCCTGAGTTGCCACTGCTGCAGAAAATTGATGAACGAGTTGCAGCTGCTTCCACGAAGGGCAACCAAAGGCAAGCAGCAACAGCAGCAGCAGCGCTGGAAAAGGAAGTAGCAGTAGAGCTGTCAGTGGCAGCAGCAGGCGGAGCAGATGCCGCAACGTAGCGAAAGTAAAAAGTGATGGACACAGCAGCAGCAGCAGAATCAAATAAGAGCCAGTGCACAATCAGTTGGTGCTACGGCACCAATTGCTGCTGCAGCGACGATTGCTGCCGTAGGAGCAAGCGCTGCTGCAACTGCAGCAGCAGGAGCAGCAGTAAATGCTCTACTCTTGTGCTGCGTTTCTGTTGAGGCGTGCAGGCTGGTAGAGCTGCTGCTGTGGGAGCACGACCTGCTTAGCTATCTCGAGGCCATCAGACGGTGCGGCATCTGTTTGCTGCAGCAGCCTCCCGGTTGCTGCTGCTCTTCCTGTATTTGCTACTGCTGCTGCAGCTCTTGCTTATGCTCGCATTATAGAGCTGGCAGCAAGATGCAGCTGCTGCTGTGTGCTACACTTTCTTCTTTTTCTTCTCCTTAGTTCCTCCTGAATTTGCCTTCCTGGGCCGAGCCCAAGGCGCTTGCAGTGCCCAGCGATGGCTCTGGCTGCAGAGCAGAAGCAGCAGCAGCAGCAGCAGATCTGCTTGTAGATTTTCTTTGTGTCTACTCTCCGCTGCACTTCCTCTGCACATCTGCTTCCATTCCGCCCTCTTTGCCATTCGAGCTGCCTTTGAGCACCTTTTTGGGGCCCTGCTGCTGTCTCTGTTTTCTAGTTGATCTTTTATTTCTTGTTTGGCTTTTTTGCTGTCTGCGGGTGTCTCCTTACCCTGCGCGTTTGCTGCTCCCGTGTCTCTACGCCCTCCCCTGTTCCTGCTGCATGTGCTGCGGCTGCCTGCCGCCAGGCCGGAGCCATTTGCTGCTTCGTCTCGCCGCTGCTGCCTCAGCTGCTGCCTTAGGCTGCCTTCAGGCTGCTGCTGCTGTGGTGGTTCCCTTTGCGTGTCAGTTCGTTTTTAATTGTTAACTATTTGTCTTGGTCTCTCTGTCTTTGGTTGCCTGCTTAGGTTTTTGCTACTGGCGGACGGCGACTTCACTTCGTTGCTGCTCGATGCCGCCGCACAGCAGCAGCAGCAGCAGCAGCACGGCGGCACCATATCCCTGCAGCCCCTCATCCTCTCGGCCATAGACACAGCAGCAAGGCAGTGTCAGTCGGACAAACTGCAAAGGCAGCTGCAGCAACAGCAGCAGCAAGAACAGCAGCAGTGGGCAAAACAGCAGGAGCAGCAACGCAACCTCCGTGTGATTCTTGTGTTACCGCAGGCAGCAGCGGAGTCAGCCTGTTTGCTGCTGCACCAGCTCTTGCCTTCGCTCTGACAGCTCGTTTCCCTCATACGTCGTACCTGCAGCAGCAGTGCAGCAGCAGCAGCAGCAGCACCTGCAGCGCGCTGTGGCGAGGCTTGGTGCTGCATCTGCGCATTGAGGAGCCGCTCCGCTTCTTTATAGGAGATGAACTCCTGCAGCAGTGTCACAAGCTCTTTGCCTTACTCTGGAAGTGAATTGCTGCTGTTGCTGCTCTTCGAATCTGTCAGACGCTCCTGGTGCTGGAGCTGCCGAGCTATACTTAGCACTGCTGCTGCTGCTGCTGCTTCTGCTGCATTAGTCGTGTGTGCCTTTGTGTGTGGTATGTAGGAGCCACCTTACTCACCGCCAGCTGCACTCTGCGTGGTTACGTGGCTGCTCGCTACAAAAGCAGCTGCGGCAGCAGCAGCGCGCAGCAGCAGCAGCAGCAGCAGCCGCAGAGCGCGGAGCCGCTTCCGCCTCATCAGCAGCAGCAGGGCAAAGTCTCGTCTCCCGCGCCACTGCAGCAGCGCGGGAAGAGCTGCTGATTCTGCAGATATCCCGCGTGGGTAGCAGCAGCCTCAATTATGTTTTTAGTAGCCCAGCTACTGAATTGCACACATGCAGCATTATTGCAGCCACCGCTGCTGCTTACCCTTGCTGCTGCTTGCTGCTGCTGTTGGATCTTGCTGCTGCCGACTGCTGTTGCTGGCTGCTGCTGCCGGCTGCTGCTGCTGGCTGCCACTGCTCCTATTGCTTGTCTCTCGGGCCCTGTCCGCTTGTTCTGCTGCGCATCATCTGGCTTGGGCTGCAGGTTCTTGGATCTGTTCATTTGTGGTCTTGTGTCTGTCTTTGCTTTTGTCTCAGCCTCATTTTGCCTTTATCATATTTTTAAGCTGCCCCTGTCTACGGCTCATTTTACGTGTGCCTCAGTCTCACTTTCTTTAGGACTCTGCCTCAATTTGCCTTCGTCTGAGCTTCATTCGGTTTCTGTCTCAGCCTGAATTGTCTTCTGCTGCTGCCTCATTTTATTTGCTCCATTATCTTTCTTCCTGCTGCATCTCTGCATGTCTGACTTTTGTTTGCATGCAATTTTGGCCGTCAGCTGAGTTGCCTTTCACGGTTGTTAGAAAGAATTAAAGATAATTTAAATTAAGACTCCAGGGAGCATATGCCTTCGACAAAATTTTGTTGCTGCTGCTGCCCAGCTGCAACAGCAGCAGCAGCATGAGCAACAGAAAATCCGGTCGCCTCGTCTTTCGTCATCAGTTTGTTGCTGCTGCATATGTTTGATTTTATTTTCCCCTTTGTTTGTCTTAATCACTTCAGACAACTCATTTGCTGAACGAAATGCTCCATTTCTCTCGCCATTGGCTTCACTTCGCCCACCAGGAAGTCATCAGGCCCAACTGGGTTCTTTTCTATCAATCTATCCACAGGTAACCAGCCGCTGTTCAGCAGCAGCAGCAGCAGCAGCAACAAGGAAGCAGGCTGAAGCAGCGATAGAACGCATTGTTGCTGCTGCTGCAGCAGTAGCAGCAGCAACAGCTGAAGCAGCAGAGGCGGTCAGTTGCCGACTGAGAAGCGCACAGGGAAAGCTGGCTTCCTTCAGCTGCAACTGCAGCATTGTGACTGCAGCGTCTCCTGGTGCAAGAGCAAAGTCGCAGCAGCAGCAGCAGCTCCAGCAGCAAACAGCAGCTTATCGAGATCCGCTAAACAGCGTCACTGGTCACTTTGAGAGGTGGATTCCTTGCTGCAGCTGTTTTTGGTGCTGCTGCTGTTGTTGCTACTTTTCAGATGCCGCGACGTGGATGAGTTTCTTGCACTATTGTGGCAGTGTATTCAGCAGCAGCACGTAAGTTTGCCCCGTTACTGTCACCGATTGCTGCAGCTGCTGCTGCTCTGTGCAGTTCAGGCCCCGCTGCTGCAGCTGATGCTTCCATTGTCGAATCTTCTGCTGCTCAGCTGCAGCAGCACAAGAACAGCAACTTCTCCTTTTGCATGCCTTGTCAGGATGGACTGTTTCTCTACGATGCAAAGGAAGCTGCAGCTGCAGCAGCAGCTGCTGCGTCCGGCAGCAGCAGCAGCAGCATCAATGTGCAGTTGCATGGATTAATTCAGGAGATGCACGAAACATGCACATCCATGGCGTCCAGAGCGGTGAATTTTAAAGCTGCTTTCTTGCTGCAGCTGTTGCTACTCATCTTGTTGCTGCCGCTTTTACGCGCCTTGCTGCTACATGTGCTGCTGCCGAGGCGCGAAGACGACTGGTGCTGTTTGTTCCATCAGGAGTTTCGCTTTGCTGCAGTAGCAGAGCAGCAGCTTCGGGGGCCTGATGACCAAGAAGCAGCATCAGAAGCCATTGGCGGCAGCAGCAGCAGCAGCATGATCGTGGTAGAGGAGCAAAGACAGGCGTTTCGGCGGCAGATGCTTCAGTTGCTCCAGCTGCTGGACTCAAAACAGAGCGAAGTCCGAGCAGCAGCAGCTGCTGCTGCACAGGCTGCCAGCAGCAGCAGCAGCAGAAGCCGCATGCAGCTCGACCACTGCCTTGCGATCAGGTGCGTCACAACGGCCCTTCCTGCGGCTCCACGTATTTTCATTCGTTTGTATTGCTGCAGCGGGAGTAGCCGCAGCAACAGCACCAGTGACAGCAGCAGCAGCAACAACAACAGCATAAGTAGCAGCAGCAACCAGTAGCTTCGGCATAAGGAACTGTAGCAATTGCAGCAGCAGAGGCCATCTTCAGCCGTATTTCATTCAGAATAAACACTTGCTGCCTCCCTTCTTGCTAAGGCTCGAGACTTGCAGAATATTTCAAACTGCAGAATAGTTCGAAAGAATTATCGCTGTTTCTATTCTGCTTCTGCTGAGTTCCATGCCTTGTCTGATGCTCCCATCGGTGTGGCTCCTCTTCTAGGTTTCTTTGGTCGTTTCGGGTGCCAGCTGCTGCTGGCTGTCTTCTTGCTGCTTCCCATCTGTAGCTCTTGGGTTTTAATTTTAGCTTGTCTTCTGCTGCTCTGTCTGCCCCGGCAACGGCCTCAGGTCTCTGCGCCTGCGTTTGGACTTCAACGATTTCTATGAGCACCAAAGGCAAATGAGTTCAGTGTCTGCGCAGCAGCAAACGCCGGACAGAGCTGGTACTCGCTTTCCCTCGCTGCTGCTTCAGCAGCAGCTTGCAGCAGCCTGCAACAATAGCAGCAGCAGCACCAGCAACCCGTACATGCCAGATAAGAGAGCGGACGCCTTAGGGAGCATGTCTCAACGCAGCAGCGATGAAGCTGTGCATGCAGCTTCTGGGGGCCCTGTATTCATGACGAAGCTGCAGCAGCAGCTGCTGCTGCAGCAGCAGCAGCAGCAACAGCAACAGCAATTCGCCGAAGAGCTGACTCGGCCGCCCACGGCCTGTGAAGCTTCAGGGCCCCCGTCGCCGCTGCCGCTGGGGCAGAGGGCAGGAGCAGCAAGTGCGCAGTAGCCCCTTCTTCAAGGGGAATTGTGCAGACAATATTTGATCTTTTTTATTTATGTTTTTGTCTCTTCGTCTACTCTATCGATCCGTTTATGTGCAAATATATATATGCATACATTAAACAATGTAGCTATTTACACCAGTTTTTGGACTTCGCTGTTATTGAGCGAGAAGACTGCATCTTCATCCTCTACACATGCTGATTTTGCAGCTCTTAAGCACCAAGTCATTTAGAAGGGAGTTGCAGCTGGCCAGCCTTAACTAGCTTGGCTAGCCAAGCTAGCCACAGCTAGCCAACCCGGCTAGCCTAGGGCGCCTGCAAAATTGTATTAATGAATCTGATTTGAATGGAAGCTGGAGATGAAATGTTTCTTATTGCCGCGCTGCAGCTTATCGGAACTTTAATGTTTCGGTTGGACGCACTCTGCAGCAAAAGGATCCCGGGTGCAGCTTTCTGCATATTTAATGCTCTCTGCGGATGCATGCGCTGCTACTTTCTATTTATTTTTATTTCTTTATTCATTTGAAAAAGCATTTTGTTATTGCAGCAGAAACAAAGGCTGCAGAAGCAGCTTCAGCCTCTGAGAGTTGCCGAGGGGTGTCGAATAAGAAAAATAAAGGAACAGCCCACCGCCCGTGGAGTCTGTGGGTGCCAGTGGCAACCCCAGGGGACCCCAGTGCTAGAGTATTGCTGCGCCAATGGGCATTAGAATGGGTCTAGCTGCGCCTTGGCTCCTGCTTGTAGATTTCTTACATCTCCTGAATTGGGAATTACGAAACTTAGCCTTTGAGCTCGTGGGGACCCTCTAGGCACATTTCGAGCTGCAGCTAGCTGCGGCTAGCCCATAGGTAGCCGCAGCTAGCTGCAGCCAAATGGCTGGTGCCTGCTGGGAGCAGAATAGGAGGGCCAACCTTAGCACATGCGTGAGCTGCCCGCGGTGTTTGGAGCAGCCTGCGGTACGCCGCAGCAGAGTCTGCGTCTTGTCCTTTTTTCCAGGCCATTTGCAGTTCCCACCTCTCGTTTATTCTGCTCGTATTCGCCTGTCTCCTGTTTGCTGTTTGGCTGTGTTGACTGCCGCCCTGCTGTTGTTTTTGTTTGCGTTCAAGCTTGGTGTTACACGGTGTTACATGGGCTCCCAATATCTCTGCTGCTCGTTAAACCTATATTGTGTGTTTGGGCTTCCTCTGTTTCGCTGGGCGAATTATACACTTTAAATTTTACTTTAATTTTTGTAGCAATACTCGTGCTACACACTCCGATGGCCTTCGCATTGAATTCAGTGCCGCTACGTCGAAATGGGATGGCACTACGTGTCCCGAGTGTTTGTCTTTGTTTATGGCACACAACACTTTATTGTGTAATTCAACAGAATTCTGAAAATATTTATTTAAATTTAATTCAACTTTAGCTGCTTCTCTGTCGGCGTGGCCTTCCCTTCCTTAAGGGTGGGGGGCCCCCGACCAGCCCGTGGCCCAGACAGTCATCCCGAGGGGTGCGCGGCTCCGCACAGAAGTCTTAATAGATCTTGAGGCCTACTGATGCCGCTGTTTATTTGTTGCTAATGCAGCTGCAGCAGCGAGATCAAGCAGCGGCTCATTGGCGAGCATGCTGCCTCTCCGTGAGAGCTGCAGCAGACCAGTAACAGCAGCAGCAGCAGGACACAGCTGCCTTAACAGCTGCACAGATGCTGCTGCTGCGGCTGCTGGCGTAATGCTTTGACTTGAAGCCCCGAAATTCAGTGCAGCAGCGGAGATGGAGCCCCCATGGCTCCCCCCGCGAGGTTCCTCTTCTCGCACTGCAGCAGCTGCAGCAACTGCAGCGGGAGCGGCAGGAGGAAGGAAAAGTTTCATTGCTGCCAGCTACCTTGGCAGCAGCGATGAGGAGGAGCAGCAGCTCGCTGCTGCTGTGCAGCAGTTGGAGAGGCCCTTACCTGTAGACTGCGGAGGCTCTACGCCCAGCAGCACTCCCCGCACGGAGCGCCGCAGCAGCGGAGGTCTCGCTGCCCCTGTTCCAACTTCTGCTGCTGCTGCTGCAAAGGGGGAGAGGGGCGAGGAGGCTGCTGCCTCTCGTGGGCTTCTCAACCCGCTGCCGCTCGCCCTCGAGCACGTGCAGCAGCAGCAGCAGCAGCAGCAGCTGCAGCAGTGGCACCCGTGGCATCAGGACCTGCTGCCTCAGGAGCAGGACAAGCAGCAGCAGCAGCAGCAGCACAAGCTGGACCTTATGTTGATGCAGCCAGCCCAACTGGGGCGTGGGGAGGCGGCAGCTACAGGGAGAGGCTTAGCGAATGGCGGAGAAGACGCAGCTGCGAGAGCAGCAGCAACTGCAGCAGCTGCAGAAGCGGCAGCAGCAGCTGCTGCTGCAGCAGCTGCAGAAGCGGCAGCAGCTGCTGCTACCACCGGGGATGACTCAGCTGCACCGAGGCAGCAGACGGCGCTGCTTCATGTCGCCCTTGCAGCCAAAGATGCTGCACTGGCAACCGTAGGCAGCAGCACAGCACTGTATGCAGCTGCTGCAGCAGGAAGCAGCACTTAGAGCAGCAGCAAACACGGAAATGCAGGAGCAGCAGCAGAGATGCTGCCAGAGACACAAACTATAAAATAAGAAACAGACACAGAGGGGGCTAGAGGGGCCAGTGACTGCAGCAAGGCTGGAAGACAGGGACAGTATTAAAAAGAACAATTAGAAGTTTGGCTGTACAGATACAAAGCTTTGAAGCCGCCTTGGCTGCTCTTTGTTTTCAGGAGAGGACACAGCGGCAGCAGCTGGAAGGAGAGCTAGCGGAGACCCGCAGGAATCTGCTGCTGCTGCAGCAGCAGCAAGAGCAGCAGCACCAGCAGCAGCAGTTTTTACTTCCCCACCTTGGGGTCGGCGTTGATGTGCAGCAGACGCAGACACACGTGCTGCAACAGCAGCTGCTGCAGAAGGAGCAGCAGATGCGCGGCCTTGCTGTGGCACTCGACAGCATCAGGGCCCAGAGCAGAGCAGCAGCAGCAGCACTTCAGCAGCAGCTGCAGCAGGCATTTGCGCGAGCGGCAAAGGTGCGCTGCTGCTTGCTGCAGTGCTGTTGCTGCTGCTGCCAAAAGCAAAAACTGCAACAACAAAGATAAACGCTGGAAAAACAAGCCCTGCTTTGTTGCATTGGCTGCAGTGTCAGTACTGTGTGTTGCTGCTGCAGGCCGAGGCTGAAGCTGCAGGAGAAGCGGCACAGGTGAAGCAACTGCAAATCCAGGCCACAGCGCTGCAACAGCAGCTCATGGAGCTGCAGCAGCAGCACGCGGCTACCGTGGAGTCGCGAGACACCCTGCAGCAGTCTCTGCAACAACAGCAGCAGAGCAACGTAGAGCTTTTGCAGCAGCTGGTGCAGCAGCAGCAAGTGCTTCGCGAGGTGCAGCAGCAATTGGAGAAGCAGCAACAGCAAGCTGACCTACTGCAGCAGCAAAACGAGGAACTACAGGAAGAAGCTGCAGAGTATCGACGCAACGCTGCTGTCGCAGCTGCTGTGGGGCCAGCGGCAGTAGCTGCTGCTGCTGGGGGCGAAGGAGAGTCAGATGGCATTGCTGCTCTGCTGCAGCTGGAAAGGCAGCTGGCGGCAAACAAGTACGAGGAGCAGCTGCAGCAGCTGCAGCGGGAGGCAGAGCAGCACCGCCGCGAGCTGCAGCAGGCCCAAGCCGCTCTGCAGCAGGCGGAGAGCCAGGTCCGGACGTTTCAGGAACAGGAGCAGCAGCAGCATGATGCGCAGCGGCAGCAGCAAGATTTTCTGGAGCAGCAGCTGGCTCAGCAACAGCAGCGGCAGCGGGAGCTGCTGGAGGAGAGAGATCGATTTGTTACGGCGATCCGCGTGCTGCAGCAGCGCTGCGATGAGCAGCAGCACCTGCTGGATGCGTCACAGCCGCAGCAGCAAAGACATCAGCAAAAGCAGCAAAAGCAGCAGCAAGAGCAGCAAGAACAGCAAGAGACCGCAGAAGACCAGTCCGCAGCAAATGTAGAAACATTGCAGCAGCAGGTGGCTTCCCTTGTCTCTGTGAACGCTCAGCTGTCACAGTGGATTCGCCGTTTGCTGCACCTGGTGCAGCAGCGGCTGCGGCACAGCAGTGCAAATGGCAGCAGCAGCGCCAGCAACAGCAGCAACTCTTTGTTGCAGTCCTTAGGAACAACGGAGGATGCGGAGTTGCGAGAGAATATTAGTGAGCTGCTGCTCTCACTGCAGCAACAGCCACTGAGTGCAGACCTCACACTGAGCTTGTCAACGTGTTTGGAGCAGCTGCAGCAGCACCAACAGCAGCAGAAACAAACAGCGCAGCAGCAAAAGGCGCACGGGACAGAGCGCAAGAGAGCCCGCTCAGCCTCGCCGGGTCGGGAGTTGAAAGCAATTCCTCCTCGCCGCAGCAAGAGCACCGGCAGCCGCAACTGCAGCAGCGGTAGCAGCAGAAGTGGCCACAGTTCAGGTGCTGCTGTTGGCCGCAGCAGCGCTGGGGAGCAGCAACGGCAGGCGCTGCTGCTTTGGCACGAGCAAGTGCAGCGAAGGCGACGCTTATCTGCCGCACTAAGTGCTGTTGACTTAGAGACGCAGCAAGAAGTGCAGCAGCAGCAGCAGCAGCAGCAGCAACATCGGCAACCCAAAGTGGCCACAGTTGGCATCCAGACGGAGGATGACTTAATTTTAGCAGGAATGGAAGTGCCAGACGAGAGGCAGCGACTCCAGGAAAAGGTTGAGGAGATGCAGCAGCAGCTGCAGGAACAACATTGCGAGCTACAGCAGCTGCAGCAAAAGTGGCAAGTGAAGCAGCAGGAGTGGCAGCAACAGCACCAAGAGCTCGCTGTAGCAAAGGTGAGAGACTGCATCCCTCATGCAGCTGCAGCAGCAGCAACTGCTATTGGCGCTGCGCCATCAAGAGTTTGCATCCCCTCTATTCACTGCGCGTAATTAAGTGGCAGTTTTTGTTGCCGTTGCTAGTGGCACTTTTGCTGTCGCGCTTGCTGATGCAGGAGGCAGAAAACGACCGCG